ACACTTTGTTGTAGCCTGTATCCTGGAATTTCCCTACTCTGTGATGATCAGACTGTCCCTGTCCTGAGAACTTTTATCCAAATGGTTTAATGGTGCCATAGTATGTATTTTAAGAATAAATTATTCATAAATGTTCATATTCATGATCAGGAATAGTGTTTATGGATAAAATTACATGTTAACAGAACTGTGGTTCAGATAAGCTTGGGAAATACCTTGTAGAACCGTAGGAGGCCAGCATTTAAAGAAGTGCAAAACTGGATTTTAACAGCAGCTGTCTGAATAAGCACAGAACTATCTCTCCATCCCTTCCAACTCAAAAACTGACTACTGGAACAGTGGGGAGAAGTGGTTTATGTACAACTAGTAAATCTTAGCTGAGATTATGAAGTTGTTTTGTCTGTGCTCATGGAGACAGGCAACTGTTGGATTGGAGACAGGATTAACAGAGTTCTAACAGCTCCCATTAAACTGGATGAGGGAGGGAAGAGATGCAGCCCACATAAACCAGTCCTGTTTTGTTTTTCTGACAAACATTTAGAAAGTAGAATTACACAGAAGCCAAAAAAGAGTGCAAGTGTAAGTGATGGATTTCAAGAGATTAAAACCACCAGGAATACTAAGACAAGAGCAAAAACTCTCGCAGCAGAAACAGCTGGATCAACCGTAGGCCTATGGCTGGAGAAAAACAGCACAAAAAGCAAGAAGAATTCACATGAGGAAGAGGCAGAAAGATTCAGAGGCAAATCCACAGGAAAGGAAAGAATCCTGGATGGAAGCAATACTTTGTCTGACTTCTAAATGCTCCAAAGCAACAAGGAGAACCGAGGCAGAGAACCTATACAGATGGGGCAAAAGTAAATACAGACACGTATCTTGTCTTAATTAAAGCAAAAAGCACCATTTCTGCCACCAGACTGGTGTTTGTTTGCTCTATCACCTGCCCCATCTAAGGCCAGAATGTTCCCAGAGTTCCAGGATGAAGCTTTTGTTCTGAGCTCAAGGCAATTCTTGAGAAGATGTAACAGACAGAGCCCAAACCAGATCCATAATAAAGAGACAGAAGTACTACAAATGATTAAGCAAAGCCTATGACTAAGGGCCTAGGTGACAGGACACAAAAGTAGCAGGTCACTAAATGTCCAGTTGGAATAGTTCCAGCCACAAGCTTGTTCAGAGGATATCAAAAGGAAATAGCTTGTTTTGCCTCAATATTAAGTATGTTACCCTTAAAGTCCTGAAAGATAGGACAATAAGCTGGAGAAAGTTCTATTCATTGGTTATAGAAGATGCTTCTTCCCTTGGATTAATAAAAATCAATTGATTAGAGATAGTATGAGTATGATCTGACAAACTTTCTCACAGATATAAAAGTAATTTTTACTTAAAGCCATTTTAAGACCCCACTTGTGCACAGAACTCCTAGTCAATATATTAAAGGCATCTCCAAACAAACATGCACTCCATGGTTCTGTTTATCTAGGTAATTATTAGAGGACCCAAAATACAACTTCCATGAACTACAAAGTTTTAAGTCAGATCCATAAAAAGTAGTAGGGAATTTGTTCCAACTGTATGGTTCTACATAAAACACCACTAGCTTTTCTCCCTGCTTTCCCTCATTGAAACGTTCTGCCCAAACCAGCCCTCGGAACAAAATACAGGACTTATTTCCTGCCTATTTCTTTCTAACTACTAAAACAACCATAAGCTCTGTCTTACACCCAGTCTTCTAACACAGCTATCATTTATGCTCCTAACTCACATCAAAGGTGGAATCCAAAACACCAGGATCCTTCTAGGACTCCAGGATTAGCAAAGAAATTCACATTAATTCTGTGGGTTGTTGGTTTTTTTTTTTTTTCCCCATGTTTCTTTTGTTAAACCATTGATTTCATCATCAATTGTTTAAAAAACATGTTTATACTGGCATTGCCATAGATTGGCTTGGCGTTTCACAGGATTCTTGTCCTGCTTTGCCAGCTCAACTCTTAGAATCATAGAATCATTTTGGTTGGAAAAGACCTTCAAGATCATCGGGTCCAACCATTATCCTAACACTACCATGCCAAGTCAAAAAAGGCGAATTAGCACATGACCACAGAACAAACTCAAAATCTGTAGAAACAGTAACTACCTGTGAATTTTGCTTGATTCAAATTCAGATGTAAATATTACCACTAATATCTAAATTAACCTGTATAATCCACATAAAGAAACACTTACGTTTAAGCATCAAAATTACTGCTTTCAGACCATTCAAATCATCTTCCTTCCTTCATCCCAACCACCACAAGAACAGCCATTGGAGAAGTAGAATTAAGAACTGCTGCTACTGCATTAAGGCCACAGCCTAGTATCTTAACAAAAGTATCTCGTTTTTTCCTTTGTACTTCTCCCCATCCTCTGTCACTTGCTGTATATTTGCATATCACACTTCTAGTCCCACAGACCTTTAGTGCTGGGTTTGTGGTAAGCCTAGCTCAGCACCGATCTGACTGTTACTGTTAAGATCCAACAGCAACAACACAAATACTACCTGGATTAATGTCCAGGCAAGGACTAGTTATTAAAGTTAAGGACTATTACAAAGGTGGCTTTTAGCAAGTAAAAATTAGAACAACATTTGATCTTCAGATTATCAATGCGTTTTGCTGGAAGGAAAAACAACTGCAACATGTATTTTATTATTCTGCTGTACCGCTGAATTTCAGACAGAATGTTACCTTATAGGGCGAGATATGAGTGTCTGAAGGAAAGGCCAACATTCCCATCACTTGTCGAACCTCATCCAGCTGGCTTCCCTCAGCCTGACTGAAATGCTTTCTTGCATGTCTGAAACACAGAATTTATACCTTTATTAGCTTTGTTTTTAAATCAAGTAAATTCACATAATAAAGTAAGATTTCAGAGAAAAACTCTAGATTCTGCTCTCAGTACCTGAACTCCAAGATGTGATGCATTTAAAGGGCCTGAAAAAAAAAAAACCCACATCATCCTGCAAATGCCAGAATGACTTTAAGAATTCACAATTTTACAGTGTAATTTCTTAGAAACCAGGACTTCTTACTGCAGCACGAAGTCTTACCTCATCTACACCTAGAATGACAGACCCACGATTATTAGAAAAAACATCTCTGCTTATGCAAGCTCGATGTATCACACTTGCTGCTGGGCATACACTCGCAAGTGAGATAAATGCAGTCTGATAATCAGCTATTCCAAACCATTAAACATCAGGAGTGTTCAAATATCTACCTTGTTTATAGTTACATTTGAGAGAATGTTTACTTCTGAATAAAGGATTTTTTTTTTTAATAGGCTAGAAGGCAATACCACTTTCTGTGCAGACTACAAGAAATTGCAGGGTAATGTAGTAGAAAACACCTTGTTAAGAGCAAAGTTTTTTGCCAGGGAAATAAAAAACTACATAGAACTTCAGTACAAGTTTTTGTACTTTAACACATACCGATGAGATACACACAAGGCTGAAAACTTGGACTTTTGAAAGAAGTGACAGAATTGCCAGAAACATATTTAAAGCAAAAATACAAACTCCCATATTTTTCAGGAAATTAATACTAAGAAACCAGAGAATTGTTATCAAATTATAAGGATATTCAACTACTTAAAAACCCTGTATGAAAGCCTCCTCAACCTAGACTTCCCAAAAGCATCCATTTTCAAGTTGGAATTCAAGTGTGCAAGAAAACCCTCCAGCCTTTAAACTGGATGATTGGTTCAGCATTTCTGCTAAAAGCTGTGTTTTCAGCAGTGCACAGATGTTGCATAGTAGACCGAGTACAGAATCAGCACTGTATTGAATTTCTGGCATTGCGTAAGTAAGAAAAGTCTCCCCTATGCTGTATTTTCTTCACAGTTTCTATTATGGGGAAGATACCAAGTTATCTCTGAAGCACTCTGGTATTTGCTCTTTTTAACTTTTAAAGAGTCCTGTTAAAACCTATTTAAAGTTACAAATGACTTTTAGGAATATGCAGTATTTTCCAATTGCCCATTTCATGGGTTGAGTTAAAAAAGAAAAATCTAGTGTGGTTTTTTTTCCCCCCCCCTTCAAATTCTGTGTTTCACTAACTACACTTAGGTCATCAATACCATGAGAACAGTCTCTTTAGCAGTGTTTCAGTACTCCTACTTCCTCTCCCACCCAAACCAGGAAGCAATGGAAGTTATGTAGGACAGACTGTTTCCACTCAACTTCCTAGTTTGGGTGAGCAATTCAGGAATGTAAATATTGTTCCCCAGGTGATTACTGTTATGAGAGCAGAAGTACAAAGCCCATGGCCTGAGAAAGAGACTAGGCAGCCTGGGCATACTGGAAGAAAGCTAAAATAAGTGCTAGGGCAGAGCTGCAGCCCAAAGCGATAGCTACTTAAAAGAGAGCTCAGGCAAAGCAGATTCAGACCTACCAGTTAAGTCAAATTACGGTGTGTGCATGCATGAGGGAGAAGAGGAAAAAGAAAAAAAAAAGTCATCTGAAAAGATCTGATCACTGTGCACCTCTGTTCTGTGACAAGCAGTGTTCCTCAGGGACTGGTGTCGGGACCAGCGCTGTGTGACATCTTTGTCAGCGACGTGGACAGTGGGACCAAGTGCCCCTCCAAGTTTGCTGATGACACCAACAACCTGGAGGGAAAGGATCCATCCAGAGGGACCCGGACAGGCTGGAGAGGTGGGCCCGTGAAAACCTCATGAACGTCAACAAGGCCAAGTGCAAGGTCCTGCACCTGGGTCAGGGCAATCCCCAGCACAGATACAGGCTGGGCAATGAGTGGATCGAGAGCAGCCCTGTGGAGAAGGACTTGGGGGTGGTGGTGGATGAAAAGCTGGACATGATCCAGCAATGTGCACTCGCAGCCCAGAAAACCAACGGCATCTTGGGCTGCAACACAAGCAGCGCGGCCAGCAGGTCGAGGGAGGTGATTCTCCCCCTCTCCTCTGGTGAGACTCCACCTGCAGTGCTGCATTCAGTTCTGGGGCTCCCAGCATAAGGAGGACATGGGCCTGTCGGAACAAGTCCAGAGGAAGGTCACAAAGATGATGAGAGGGCTGAAGCACCTCTCCTATGAGGACAGGCTGAGAGAGATGAAGAAGAGGCTCCACGGAGACCTTAATAAAAGCCTTCCAGTACCTAAAGGGGGCCTACAGGCAAGATGGGGAGGGACTTTTTACAAGGGCCTGCAGTGATAGGAGAAGGGTTAATGGCTTTAAACTGAAAGAGGAGAGATTTAGATCAGATGTAAGAAGTTCTTCACTGTGAGGGTAATGAGACACTGGCACAGGTTGCCCAGAGCAGCTGTGGCTGCCCCCTCCCTGGCAGTGTTCAAGGCCAGGCTGGATGGGGCTGGGAGCAACCTGGTCTGGTGGAAGGTGTCCCTGCCCATGGCAGGGGGGCTGGAACTGGATGATCTTTAATGTCCCTTCCAACGCAAACCATTCTGTGATTCTATAAAATGGAAGTGGTACTTCACTTTTGCACCAGCCTCTTTAGTATTGTGGTCCTACTCCTCCCACCAGGCCTTGACAGTTTGTTCTTACAGACAAGCAACATCCCTCTTACTTATAGGAAGACCCTGACCTGCAACTGGCAAATCCTGGCCACACGTACTGTATATGTTCAAGAACAGCTAGAATTGACACTTCGTTTTGTGCACGTACGATCTGTAATGGCTATGTGTGCGCTAGCCATTCAAGGAAGTGCTCGGCAATCAACACTATCATTTGCAAAGTACCAAACATGCTGGGATGTGGTGGCCATTTTGAGTTCAGCCAGGAGGAATTAGGTTTTCTAAAGTGACCTTCTGTTAGCTTTCGTCTCCTGACCTTCCCTTCTCCTGTGCCCCTTAAGAAAACAAGGAGGCTTTCCCACAAAGCCTGCCATGCTAATGTCTGAACTTCACCCTCTGAGTCCCAACACAGAGAAATTAAAATAAAGAAAGATAGCCTTTAAAAGAGAAACAAGTTTGTTGGTTCATAGCACTCTGAAGTCTTTTTTAGATTGGGAAGCAAGCAACAGTACTGTGTGAGTATTCGTGAACACACAACAGTTAAAGAACACCTTATTTGCCCTCATGCCATTATTCACCCCTTCCCTTTTCATTCAGCTACTTCCATCTCTTTGTGCAAACGTTATGCTCTTGGAGGTATAGATGAACCTTACAATGCTTATTTACAATGTTTCTACCACCATTAGCACACACTAGTCAGTATAGCTAAAGCAGAGGGCTAAAGGTTTTTCTTCTTTATTTTTTAAAATCATGCCCAGTCGACCATCACTGAATGGTGACGGTCCATCTAAATTCTAACTAAATTCTTATGACAGATCAAAGTAATAGGTAGAAAAGTTTGTTTTTCAAATCCCAGAACGATTCTGTAAATTGTGTGGGGACCAAGTCCATTGTCTGTTGTTTAAAATAGCCACTGTAGCACACACAGGTACAGCAGACATACTGCACTTAACAAATCCAAGAATGAAAGGGCATTTATGAAGACCTGAAGATTTAGTCGACTGTCTACTAAGGTTATACTGTTGTTAAAGTATGTAAGCTATACAGTGTGTATGTATGTATGTATGTACATATGCCTGAATATAAGAATGAACATATTTATCAGGAAGAAGCAATAACTGAACACAAAAACAAGGCATTATTGAAAAATGATTTGTTCTTTCTGCTCAGTCTTTCTGACCAATGCCTGAATGCCTTTAGCTCAGAGACAATTATGACTACTAGCAAAATTTATACTCAAAGTGCTCAAAAGTTTTATTATCATTTTTATATGCCTGTTCAACCCCAGCCCCCACTGCCCCCCATTTCACAATAAAAATAAAGGAACAAACTATGTTTATTCACCCTTGTAGGAGAGAAGTTTACTAAAATGAATAGACTGTGGCCACTTTCTCCTCACTCGGTGCATCATCAGCTATTTTTATTTACTCCTTTTGTCCTTTATATCCCAAGAACAAGAAGTGCACAGGGTGTTTTGTTAAGCCTTTAGCTAAAACTGTGTATCTCTGGCAACCCATAAGAGAGCAGCAGAACATTGTCAGTTTTCCCAGAATGAAATTAGCGAGAGCCCCAAAAGTGTGAAATTAGTGTCATCAGTCATTTGTGGTTACTGTAATAGGTATGAGCTTTACAAAAAAGCCTAAAGAGACTGTGGGCGTAAAAGGCTAATGATACTAGGCAAAAAACTTTATGATGTACTTAAGCTTAAGAGATTCACTCTTTGTACTCAAGAAAGTTTTTGTACATTTTTGAAACTTGCACTTTCAAGACTACTCTGAAAAGCTACCTTACAGGAAGGTTTGTTTGTACTCATATTCTAAAGAGCTACAGAAATTCAAACGCATATTTAATAAAGATGAATATTTTCAAAGCTTACATCAATTTTAACCTAAAAGCAATATGTCACTTTAGAGGTTCTCAGCAGGCAGTAAGCAAAGCTTTCAAACTTATTTAAACACCAGCTGCGTTTCAACAAATTGTCAGTTCTCCGAGTTCCACTCATACAGGAAACTACTTGGTAAACAGCCTCTTTCTCTGCTTTCTAATGGATGCCTGACCTATTTATTGCACCACGGACACAATACTGAAAGAATCCTGCTGCAGGCACTTAACAGAAGCAAGCTAATAAAAACACAAGTTGCAACGGTTTGCTAGAAGCAGTGAGATTTATGCTATACCTTCCCAAAATACGTTCCCTTATTCATCACACATTTATTTTGAAGCAAAGTGGAATTAAGTGGTAAAAACTAACATTTTTAAGCCACATTATTTAGAGAAACCATTAAGATGTTGAACTCTGACTATACAAAATTATCAAAACTCACCCTGCTAAAAAGAAGTCCTTTAAGATACAAAAGGACTTCTGTAGCTTCTTTTTGTTTCACAAGGAGTTACGAAGTTAAAGTAGCTTTGTTCTGACTGGTAAACTATAATTGCCGAGTATAAAATATGTGTCAACCCTGAATTTCAGTAGGTGTATGGAACATACACGCTTCAGCCCTGACGACATTCAATATGGATGCCTATTTGCAATGTAGATAGGAGCTGTAAGTTTTAAACCTCCGAGGCTATGACAGTACAAGTTATCCCACGCCAAGAGTGCTGTGTCCTCCTGAGGGTTAACAACTTGCAAATTTGACCAGTTCTGATGTGGAAAAGGGATCAGAGGCAAACAAATATCCAGCAACAACAGTAAAATACAGAATGACCTTATCTACTTTGTCCCAGTTCTCAGCCTATCTCCTTATTTCAGCTCTATGGCTGCCCTCTGGTTTCTAAGCTACATAAGGAAGCTGCAGCTCAAATAAAACAGTTTTTAGAGCATGGACTACTCATTGTTAAGATGCATGACTGCACACTTGGCAAAGAAGCAAACTTAACAGAGAATAAGGCTAAAGGCACAAAGGCACAGTATTCATTGGACATAAAGACCACCACAGGCTTCAGAAGACAGACAATGTAGCTGAGTGTCTTTCATCCTTTTCATAAGTACCTGACAATTTCTTAGGATTTGAGAACTCTATCAAAGTGCACATATCTAAATGCTGGCAGGTAGGTTGGGTTTTTTTCATTATTAACATTAAAATTAGCTGGAGTTTATGAGATTGCACATTTGCATTGGTGCAAGTAGGGCAAAGTAGGAATGATATGAGTTAGCTCAAAGCAAGCAACACATTTGAATTAAATTAGAAATAACAACTGCAAATAACCCTAAAACTAAGGTAATTCTGAGCATCGTGTTAGTATTAGATTGGCCTCTCCACATGCTTGCACCACCTTTTCCTTTATTCTTGTTTTTAAACAACTATGTCTCTCACCTACTCTATTCAAGAAAAGTTATTCAGTTTGCCCTGCAGAATGGTTTCTACAGCTAGAACTTGGGAATATGCTTTCAGCCTGTGCTTCCACTATGATACTTTATATGTTTTCCATAGCTCTGTGCTCCTCTGACTAAAAACCAGCTTTGCCACAAATACAAACCTCCTGCTGGTTCCAATTTCTGGAGTACCTAGTATGGTTTTAAAGGCAGCAAGACTTGCAACTTCCTTAACGAAAAACTTGTCAGAAACGTTAAAAAACGACAGTGTTATCACCAGAAAGTATCAGCAAAGCTTCAAGTCTGGCCATGAAACTTGTCATCTCTCCCTAGGTTTAAATATTCTTACAGAACAAAACCTGCTGTGAGTTCCTCTCTCCCTTGTCCACGTGTAGCTCCAGTAGCTCTGTCACCTGCATCCTACTCCGTAGTGCTGGCAAGATCACTGCTCATCGGAATTATCAACACATTTGATAGTCCCAGCATCAAAATTCCACTCATTTCAGCAGAACTCGTTTCTTGTGTTATCCTGGAACATTGTTACAACACCTTGAACCAGGACTACTAACTTAAAAGCCCAAACGGCTTCATGGGCTGATATTGTAAGTGTTGGCAGAAAACCCGTCTCTCATTGAAAATGGGCAGTGATCAGGTCTGACTCTAGTTCTGTTACTGATTCGTGCCACCTCAGGCCGTGTTACTTTTTTCTCAAAGTAGTCCCTACTGAACTAGTTCAAAAGAGGTGAAAATGGATATTCAGTTGATTTCTTCATTTGGGGCCAGGGGGAGTGGGGGTAACATACATAGCTCGTTATTCTCACATACGTGATAATACAGAACTCCAAATTATGCCTTCAATACAAAAGGTGAACCTGGCCTAAAGCACCACATGTAGAACAAGAAGTTTAATGAAGATAGTAAAGCAGAAGAAAATTCAGTCAAAAGTGAAACATTAAGCTTTAGATAGGTGTTTCGTTAACCTTTTAGTACTTTTTGCAATTTAAACCGCAACGAGTTGCTACAAGAAGCTAGCTGTACCCCTTCAAAATTACTTAAGAGTAAATATGTTAATTACATTGTATGCCACCAGAAAATACAATTGTTTTATACAATAGATTAATTTTCTAAACGTTGATTTTGAAAAGTAAGAAGATGCAGAGTTTCAGCAACCTAAGGTTTTAAGAAGGTGCATCTGTGGAATGACACCTTGCCTTCAAAAGAAATTCAATCCCAGCTTAAATCCACAGACTGATCACAACACTAGCAAGATCCTTTTCAGTGGGACTTCCGGGTGTTGCAACAAGTCACATGTTCCTAATGAAGCATAATACCATCTTGTTAAGAAAATTGTTTGGTAAGGATCCTAATTTCATACCTCACAGCATCCAGTCTCTTGTTCTGTCGAATGAGTTCAATGAACTCCTGAATCCTTAGGCTGAATTCCAGACAGCTCTGAGATTAAAGATAAGAGAGTCTTAGATGGTGCCAAAACTGCACTGCACAGTGTGTTAAGTACTATGTATGCACAACAAAAAAGAAAGTGTTAATAACATGCAACCTTGTTTGCTTGCTTTTAGGCATTCATGCAAAAAAAAGTTGAAAAGCTGACTTTACGGACAAGACTCCAGCACAGAATTCCGTAAAAGCAAACAAAAACCTCCTCCTCTTGCCTCCTCCAAAATTTCAGTAACTAGCAGGGATGAACTTTTTTCCTAATGACTGAAAACATCATTACCTGAGATGCAAGTGAGAGTAACAAGTGGTTTCTTTGTACTTTCTTACAATTTAAAGTAGTAGATTCAACAGAAGTTTGGGCCTATGTGATAATTTAGACAAGAAAGGTCTACCCAGACGACTGCAAGGAAGAAACAAGTCTTTGAACGCCATTTTGAAAGTCCCCAATATTAACAAAAACCAGCACAGAGTTTTAAGTTGTTTCAAACCCCTCCCTCCATTTCTTCAAACTTCTATCCCACTCTTCTCGTCAAGCATCTAAAAGCCATGCTCGAAACAACTCTCAAACAAGAAAACCAAGTGGCATTTACCTGTTTTTCGAAAAAGGTAAAATTTGAAGCCTAATGAAGTTGACAGTGTCCCTTTAAATCAAATTCCATCACCAGTTCACAAAATCTATAAAAAACTTTGAATATCTGGAATTAAAAAGAAAACGATTCTCCCCCCATAAAAGAATGAGTCACTATGCTTCTTCACAGGGACACAGTCAACTGTTTTTATTACCTTAAGGAAACAATGAAAACCCAAAGTCCTCTGAATCTTGCAAAGAACTGTGTTCCTTGAGTTACCGAGCTCCGTTTGGCAAACGGGTTTTTTTCTTCCCCCACGCTTCTAATGAATAGCTGCCTTTTGTTTATTGTCAATCAGCACAGTAATATCAAAATTCCTCAGTTAATTTGAACAACTCCAAATTTGTATCAGTTAACTGCCTGGGGTGATTAATGCACAGATTGCAACAATTGCTTATTTTAAGATTTGAAATGTAAGACATTTGAACATAAAAATGATGCATTCTGTCACGTGTGAAAATATACTTAAGGAGCAGAAAATAAATTGTTTTCCAACTACACATTTTTCTATACTCAAGTCCATATTTAGTAGAGAATAAAAATTTCTTCTCTACTTTACTTTAAATTTCAAATAGGACTATTTTAAACTTCTGCATTACTAAAATCTACAAAAAACCTCCTTTAGAATTTTAGCTAACTTTGTTTCTACTAAAAAATAGATCAAGCTTTTTAATTGTTATTGATACTAAATCCTAGGGCTTAGTATGTCATTAAAATATTTCAGCAGCAAAAACCCCACATCCCAAAACAATCTTCAGAGCTTGCGTTTTGCTTTTATGAATCTACAAGTAAGCTGAAAGCCAATCGCTGTATAGGTCCTGCAGACAAGGCTAACCAGAGGAAAAGAGTCCTAGACAATCAGATGACGCACACGTTTCAACTGTGACTACCCTCCAACAAGTCCCCAGCAGCTATTCACATGACTTCAGGCAGCTCACGAGCTCACGTCTGTAAAGACTACGGACTGTGGCCTTTCCCAAACCAACGTACGGTTCAATTTTCAGATTAGGCTTACGTTAAGGTGGTGGCTGGGATTTTAGAACATTAACTTGATGAGTAGCTAAGCAACCAGAAACAGAAGAAAGGTTTATTTGTGTTTCAACAAGAAGCATAGTGATTTCTCCCAACTCTGATCTCTCACAGTCTTAGCTTTGGTTTTTGTTTGTTTGTTTTGTTGGGTTTTTTTGTTTGTTTGTTTTTTGTTTTTTTAAAAAAAAGTAGGGCTTGCAGAAATAGATTTTTTGTTGTTTTCCAAAAAGAGGGATGGGGAAGATTTTTCCTTATTTATTGTTTGTTGAAGATTGGTGATGAAAGAGTAAGATGTTCAGATTTTATTTCTTACATTACTTAACATATTAAGATAACGCAAGGGGGATTTTTTTTTTTAGCAGTATAATTATGCAATAGTGTTTACATACCAATTCTGGTTTTCCTTTAATGGTTTCCACAACAAGATCATCATTTTCTTTAGAGTAATCACTGGCTGATTTACTTTTGCGTCCCATCTTCGGTTCGTTCTCATTTTGGCGCCCCTGAGTGACAGAGAACGTCACTCCTTGCTTATCGTTAAGTGCACTCAAACATTTTTGGTTAAAGAAAGCGCTTAGTTTAAAAAATAAGACACAAGCACCTTTGAGGGAGGCAGGGATTTTGGTTAATGTCAGTTAAAAACAGATTTCTGCAAGCCCTATAAAAGATTACAGCATGTTTTGAAATGCAGAATTTAAGAGACAAGGACATTTAAACCAACTGCATAGGAACAAGTACACAGCACATTCAGATCATTGTATTCAATGGCCAGAGAAAGACTTACTGTGTTTATTACTTGATTAGATTCTGCTTTTATTTTCAAAAAATTTCAACAGTAGTTTCTCACAGAAAGCTAGTTCTTTACTCAAGTTTTATTTTCTTATATACAACACTTAAAAAATACTAAGACAAAAGTCTGTATGAAATTCTCCCAGTGTTAAGCCTGAGGACACATGTTTAGCAATTAATCTCACTCTTAAGATACCTTAATGGGTAAACTGAGTCATAGTCTCAACAGGATGCAAAGAATTGTAAAGGTAAGTTCACATGCATCAAGACACCACATACTTCTGCATTTAGACATTTGTAAATCACACTAAAACCAACTGAATATTATTTTATTTGAGAATAATTTGTTGATACAACACATCCATAAGATGACCTATCGCTCAGTTTCAGGTTTGGTATTTGCGTGAGCTAGTTGATCTCCAACTACCTATGCCTTCTTAAAAGAGGAGTTTTGTACTTACTGTCCTTACTTTTATACAAGGCCTCATTCAAGACCTATAATTTAAACCAAATTGACCACATCAAATATTCAAGTAGCTTAGAAAACATTTAGAAAACAATTTAAGCAAAACATGAACATGTTACATTTTCATACCTTCATTTTTCTGAGCCTGGATTTGTTATCATGACACCAAGCCAAGCAAGTCATAGTCTCTTGTCTTTCCAATGACTCTTCCACTTCTTTAGCAGTCAAAAACATCTCAATATTTACCAAGTCCTTCAAAAACAAAAAGGAAAGCAGGTCTTGTTAAATTGTATTGATACTTTACACAGCAATCCCTCTTCAACAGAGCTGGAATAGAGAGATACAGAAGACTTTGTTCCTGAGACCTCTGTTTTTTTGGGTAGTACTTTACAAAAAGACATTAGAGTGTATTTTAAAGACCGCATTTCCATATACTGAGATACTCTGATAGTGAGATAGGGACAACGTTTTTCTGACACTACTTACACAACAGAACTAGAAAAAAACAACAGTGTTTAAGACTAAACCTAGGAGCTTTGCACAGAAAGTGACCAGATCCCATGACCAATTTAGTGGTGTTCACACTTCCAGGAGTACTTTGTTTCCTTAAAGCTTGGCCTACTACCTCAATTGGACCCTGACAACGTCATAACATTTGCTAAATTAAGCAAGAACTACATAACAGAGGAGAACATCAATGTACTTTACCTAGCCACCTGTAACTACTGAGTTTTAAGCAAAGTTTTACAACCATCTGAGGTCTCCAATATATTTTTCTCTCACTTGCTTAATGTTGTAAGCTCCAGACCTTCAACTGTTTACAGTAGTTCTGTCTACAACCTGACACTGAGGTGATAAAACACAGTTAATGTATTAAAACACAGATAGGCAACAGGTGGGCCACAAGGTTCCTCAGGTGCTATCACAAGCAGATGTTTTCGAAGAAAAAGGAGCAATCTACTATGAAATTTGCCCGGAGCAAACCTGTAACACACCTATGCTACTCTCTAATTACCAGCAGCTTTACACATTCACACCAATCAAGGCAAATACAACTGAATACAAGGCAAATACTGAACACAATTTACTATCTAGTAGAGTATCAAAGAATTTCTTCATTACATAGTTCTGCTGAAAAAAAGACTTGGGTACATGTTCCCAAACAATATGGACTGGATTCATCCTGAACTGGCAGCACCAGAAGTTATTTCAGAGCTGCATAAATATATCATGCTGTGACAGTTCATACTTGGCTGAAGAAAATACACTGTGGGAAACCATAATTCAATATACAAACAGAAACGCAGTTCTAAAGTATTTGATTAATATGCACTCTAATTTTGAATGAGTCCATTTTTATGTCGATTTCACAGCAAAATGCTGAAAGTTATACAACAGAAATGCTGAATATCACAAATAGTACAGTAGCTCTAGTGAACAAGACCACTCAGAAATAGATGGCGTTTTCAGCTGTTCAAACAACTGAATATACTTAGCAATAGAAGCAGCATCAGGCATATCACATTGACATCTCTCATCTCATTAGCCAATTTTTCCTTACAAATAAGAGAAGTCTAATAACATTGGAAAAATGTCCCAGATCATGTAGTTTGTCAGAATGGCTATTTACAAAAACATAAACAGCCCACACATATTTCTGAAGTGCAGCAAAAGTTGCAGCTTTTACTAAAGCTTTCTCTCACGACTGGAATGTGAGTTTAAAACCAAAATATTAAGGATAGTTGACATGCTACTACATTTTATAGACTGTACGATGACAGCAATAAAGCTATTAAACCATCAAAAGAACACAAGGCCCCACACAGCTCTAGTAGTTTCAAATCCAGGTAAGTCAGACTGAGGTCAGAGCTAAAGCAGTTACAAGTTCATAGAACAAAATTAAGATTGGACTTTTCCTCCCATCCCCTTAAGGATAAAAAAGAAATACCTACTTTATCATTGTGTTGGCAAATGGACTGAAAGAATGCTCACCTAGTCACAAAAGCAATTTAAGTTTTCCTACAAGAACATGAGAGTGATCTTCATTGTGTTGGCAAATGGACTGAAAGAATGCTCAACTAGTCACAAAAGCAATTTATTTAAGTTCTACAAGAACATGAGAGTGATCTTCCTTTTTGGTAGTCAAAGTTTTTCTGATTATACTCTTAAGTGGAAAAAAGAGAACTGCATTATTCCCCTGTGTGTGATAAGGTGACCATAAAAAACCCTCTTGCCCATATAACTCATCTGTGTAAGTAATCTGACATTTAATGCAACCATATTCATTATCTTGCTTGCACATTTTTCCACATAGCTGCTGAATGGAAAAATGATTCCATTTGAGTTCAAAATAGTAACATCTCCACAGATCTCCTCAAGCTTATTTGAGCTATGTGTCCTCTTAACGAACAGCATTTGCTTTTATACCAAATTAAAACAAAAGCATTTTCTTCCACATTAAAAAAAGGACTGGATATGCTAGGCAGACAAAAAAAAAAAAATCACTGTTTCCATCTCATTTATTAGCTTTTTATAGTTTAAGCTTCATCACAAAAAAAAAATAAATCAAGAAGTATAAGGGCAGCATTTGTTTAAAGTCAATGAGCTGGTGAGAGAATCCCAACTATATGCACTTATCAATCAGGTGTTAGTATAGCAACCCTCAACTAGAAGCAAAAAGCCTGTAGTTGCTGCAGAGGCAGACAAAGCTCTTTAAACAAGAAGAATTCGTACATTCCCTTTTCAAATTTAAAATAAAAAAAAGGTTCTATGTGGTACAGAAATGCTAATTAGATTTGCGGTTGCCAAAAGAAGTCAAAGCTTGGCAGCCGTCTCTTAAATAGACAGTATGTATCCAGAAAACAGAGGAGAACATTTTTAATTAAAAGAGTTTCTTTCAGAACTAACAATCACATTTAAATTGCACCAATAAAAAGGATTTTCTTCTCTGCTGACTAGATAGAAAGTAAGGAAACAATATATTAAAAAAAATCATTAGCAG